GTGTGGGCTGCGATTCCTGCAATGCTGCTTGTGAGTGGGCAGATGCTGAAGGAGGCAGAGAAGGGAAATCCATGCAACCTCCTGGGACTGAAAGATCACACAATGGTGAGGGAACGAGCAATGCATGCCAGCTGGTGAGTGAGTGAGCTGGTGGGGGGAACGTGTGACACCAACAACTTAAGACAACCCAGCACAAAGTGTTTTGTGTCCATCTCAAGTGTTCCAAATCATCTCTTTAGAATGTATGGTCATTGATGAGATGCCATTTGTGTACAACAGAAGGCATCCAACATGGAGAGGTTAAGAGATCAGGCTGCAGTGTGGAACCAAAAGTGTGAATGAGTCCACTGGGAACAGAAGGGGAAGCCTTTGCAATGGGGTGAAACGTGGGCAACAGCTTCATCACAGATGAGAAAATAAAACATATCCACACCTGTAACTTGTTCATGGTGGCTCACTTCCCTGCTGAAAGGAAATCCAAACAGGAAAAGGTGGGCTTGGATAATCTACTGTAATTTTTCTTGTTTGTTTTATCGTGGGAAGAAAAAAAATCTCAGCTGCTCATGGATGGATACCAATATTACACTGGGATAAGGTGTGATACATTTGGAGTAAGGCCAATAGCAAAAATTCTAAAATGTGAAGGGAGAAACATGTTGTCCTCTACATGTTGCTGGACTGCAACTTCCACTATCCATCACCAATGCCTAGCCTGCCCAAGGAGCTGCAAGCCAACAAGTTCTGGAGAGTCACCAAATATTCCTCCCACTCTAAAATCTCGCTGCGAGTGATCTCCCTTCTCCCAAGATCAGAAGAAAACCAAGTCCCCAAAAGTGTAACCAAGTGTTGCTGGGTGAATGAAAAGCTTGCTACCTTTCTTGCTCATATCTATGTAACTGCTCACTTCCATCTCCAGATAAGGATCCATGGACAAAACTGTGTAGTGACAGGATATGTGTATACTCCTTCTGCAATTGTAGCAGCTCCAATGTCAATTCATAGTAGCACATCTCTTGGAGGAACCCAACCTTTCCTCTCTGTTTTTTCTAGAAGTGTCTCTGATGAAGGAACTTGTAGTTATAGGCAACAACAAAAAATGAATGTCTACACAATTGAGACTCATACTGCTTGCCTTTATTACCTTATATTAATTAGATAATGCAGAAATTATCTCTGGAGGAAATGATCAAGGTTTCTGAGGCTATCACTGATCAGTTTGAACTTCCCTCTCTGGGTTCTGACCAATTTCTTTGGAAACTCCTTCCCTTCCTTAGTAAAAGGAAAGTGGTGTAGACATCGGATTTTGTCTTCTACGCACATATACAACCACATATTCAAGCATATGCAGAGAAAAAGCAGCTTGCTTACATGAACTCAACTTTGACAGATGAAGGATGCACATCAAGTTAACTTTATATGCAATTATGCTATATGAAGGTAACCTTGAAATACATTAGAACCATAAGATAGCATTCATTATATTAGCAGCAGAAGCAAAGTGCCATGACACACCTAAGAGTAACAGGATTGAAAACAATCAAAATATTTGCAAAAGTATAATAAATCCTGTATTGGACAATGCTTTGAAGCACACCCCATTTATATATCATCAGCAAATCACTGTACAAGACATTCTTACATAAATCTCTCATTATGAGCTAACAGAGCTAAATAACCGCTTCATAAATAGTAGTAGGGACGTGGTGGCGCTGCGGGCTAAACCGCAGAAGCCTATGCTGCAGGGTCAGAAGCCCAAGCAGTCAGTCGTAAGATCGAATCCACGTGATGGAGTGAGCTCCCGTTGCTTTGTCCCAGCTCCCGCCAACCTAGCGGTTCGAAAGCATGCAAATGCAAGTAGATAAATAGGGACCACCTCGGTGGCAAGGTAACAGCGTACAGTGTCTAAGTCGCACTGGCCATGTGACCACGGAAGATTGTCTTCGGACAAAACGCTGGCTCTATGACTTGGAAACAGGGATGAGCACTGCCCCTAGAGTCGAACACGACTGGACAAAAATTGTTAAGGGGAACCTTTACCTTTTAAATAGTAGTTGGTAGAGAAAAAACTTTCCTTACTAACATCTTCCAGCAAACTTTCCTTACTAACATCTTCCAGCAAAAAGAATGCACACTTTCACTGCTTTCATCTGATCTAACTGAAGGACTTTACCCTTTCATCTGCCTGTTTGAGCCAGATTAAATATTTCTCTAAGCCGGGGTGGACAACTGGCGTCTCATCAAATATGGTTAGACTGCAGCTAACACCAACCCCCTTGCCAACATGGAAGCCACAGTCTAACAATAACTAGAGAACTACAACTTGCTTGTTCCTTTAAAAAAAAAAGGATCATCTCTGAATCATAGCCCCCTCCCCTCCATACTTAAAAGGGGATATGCTACAGATCAATTCTCAGTGGTTTTTTTTTTGGTACAGACTGATCCACCCCCACCTGTAGAGCCAGGAAGGATCTCCAGATCTGATAGTTTTAGCTTTCTCTGGTCATAGATTTTGGCTCCCATCACCCAATGCCTTTTATACTGTATAGCTCAAAGAAAACTGTGGCCTCAGGTTTAAGAAGCACGGCAAAACAAGATTTAAGAAATAATGTTTATATTTGAATAGCTTTGGAAAGTAATATTAATATCAGCACAAAAAAGATACTAAAATGGGTGGATGGGGACTGCAATCCAGACGTTTTTAGATTCCAACTCCCATAATCCCTCAGCATTGATTATCCTGGCTACAGTTTATGGGAACTGTAGTCCAACAGGACTGGGAAGGCCAGACCTGCCTTCTATTGCAGTCAACTATTATTCTGTTTAAGCTTACACCACAAAGAATGCCATCACAAAACCAAAGCAAAAAATGGAAGGAAAAAAAGCAAAACACTGCACAGATCAGGAACAAAATGCTAAACTTGTTTGCTCACGTTACAAAGTGTGTTTACCAACCACACATTAGGTACAAAATCCTAACTCAGCAGTAAAAGAAACTTCATAAATCCCAGGTCAGGTGAGCACAAGATTGTTTTCACAAACACAGTGGAAGCAGAAGAACCAAATACAAGAATGTGTTCTTCTTTTCCTAACTCTTGGTTACCCCACATAACTTGGAATTGGGACAAATATGGTGGACATACATGAGCACACAATAAACAGAGCAAGTAGCCTCTTTGCTCAACTAAAATCAGAAAGTGTTATTATCCAATATATGTAATTTATACCATCTCAAGAGGGGTGAAGTTAGCATACTTGGTTGGTTGTTAGACTGCCAGCTGATGTAGTAGCGGTACTAAGTACTATAGAATGTCAGTGTAGTGGAGATGGGAACCTTTCTTCAAGCTATTCTTCCCTCTTTTGCAAGTGGTCTTATATGTGGATGGCGTTTGGGTCCATTTCATTCCATTGGCATCTACAATGACATCTATTTAAAAGAAGTAGAAATGCTTCTCAGCTGGGAATTAGAACTCGCTCAGAATGCCTGCAAGTTCTGTTACTATTTCTGATTGACCAAAAAAAAAAAGGTTGGAATTAGTTAACAGTTTTGTGGCGGGACATATCCTGTCTGCAAGAGTACCCTTTTTTTGGGGGGGGGGAATCAAGACAGTAAACAGGAATCCTTCCATTTGCGCAACTTAACATCTCAGATTTCTCAAATGTCATTTTGGAAGAACTGAATTCTCCTTCTCAGCAGAAAGCCACATGAACTTGGAGAAGACCAAATTCTTTTGAGATTTGGGGTGTGGCTGGTGCAAAATTCTCCAACCAAGAAGAGAAGATGAGATCATAAGAGGCAGCCTGAAAGGCACTAGAAGCCATCCATTTTAAAACGACCTTATTTTTCACAAACATTTTTAGTTTCTTCTTTCACACCCAGAAACAGTCAGTTCCCCCCCCACTTCCCATGAAAAGCTCTGTCCACATTTTGAAAACCTTCAGAATTCATTTACAGAGAAAAAGAAATGAAACAGTGGATTAACTTTTAGCCATTTTACTGTGTAACCCCCCCCCAACTTTACAACATGTCAACGCCTCTGTCGGAAACAACAACCCAAATCCAAACAAGATGTGAAACCCTCTTCAAAAAGGTTGTTTACCACACCAGAACTCTAAATGTTTCCCTCTGCGCCTAACGATTTTCTGCAGCAAGATCTGCTTGTATCTTTGAATATAATTAACTGTCTGGACATATAAATCCTTTCTGCTCCAAAACTGGAACTGCAAGAGCATTCTCCTCTATCTAGAGATACATCTGACTTCCTTAAGAAGCAATGAGGCATTCTTACTGTCTCCTTAACCAAATGCCTTCTGCTAACTGGAAAGTCGACAGAACTTTCACGCAAAACTTCTTATTTTTAGCCCATCTTTCTTTTTAAAAAGAAAGGAAATAGGATTTGGGAAGGAAATTTTGTTTTGGGGGTTTTACTGTTTGTTTTTTCCCCCTAAGAAAGCGCCTATCCACAACCCCTCCTTCTCCCCTCCGGCCCATCGCGCCGATTCCTTTCGGAAAAGGGAGCTTACAGCTCAACCCCCTGGGCCCGGGGCTCCCTCCACGCAGCCCCCCATTTTATTATCCCCGACCCCGCTCCGCTGGAAGAAGCGCCTCCTTCCCAGCCCAACGTGGCCGCTGCTGGGCTTCAGCCGACGGCTCCGTCCCCCCCACCCCAGCCTCACAACCAGG